CTGCAACATTGCCGAATCGATAATGGCTCGGGAGAGGTGGCCGGTGGAATAGCTGTATACCGGCTCGGGAGCCTCATGAAGAATTATGATAGTCTCCTGTGGATTATATCAGTGAGAAGGAGAGTTTCTTACCAACAGGGATACCGCAAAGCGTCAAAGGCGCAAACGGAAAAATTTTATGGGATCGACGAAAACGATTGACTAAGGGGTAACGGAAGTTCAGAGAAATATCCATCGAATCAAGCTTGCCGCTGCAACGTATGAAATGAGATGATAGGGAGAATTGGTCCATTTGACCACAGAGGTTTTACGCCACACGGACGAAGAATAAGCGGGCTTAAAAATGGTACCAAACAATCGCATTACTATACATTACTATACAACCACGAATTCTGGAGTTCAGCATGGTTGCATACTGTTCTTATCTCAGTTAATAGTCTACCTGGTTAGATACACGAAAGTGTATACAATTTTCGCAGTATCAAAATTCCAACAGACCACCAACTGAGCAATCTGGACTACGCTGACGACATCGAACTGCCAACTCTAAGCCACGCTTATCTACAGTAGACAGTGTAACTCAAGAGGAGTCGAGATCGAAATTTGAATGAGTTATATAGCATACATAGGATGCTGTTATTACAGTTTGTTGACTTGATTTAAGGCACAGAAAACGTCTTACTAAACAAGAATTCATTTCAAAACTAATTCAGACTGAGTTAAAAAATATCGAGCAATTATCGGTATAGTTGGCCGATAACAACCACTCGTCCCGAGCATAACAGTATTGCTGAAGCACCTTAAGCAACGCAGGGTGCTTTGGGAATGGCCTTCGTGGTAAGCCCGGCGGGAATATTACTGGTCAGCGAAATTCAAAAGACCCAAGCGTGCCTGAGGGGGCCGCAAAGAGGTCCACTCAAAACTCTTATATTGGCGGAACTTAAAGAAAAAAGGAAACTCAGGGCAATAGTACTTTACGTAGTGCAGCTCATATACCCCTAGTCCCAGCATTTTTTCCTATGTAAACAGTGGTTATAGGGGTTTTATGTGTAGGGAATTAGGATGGGCAATGGAATTCACTTTAATAACTGCTATATGCATTTTTTATTTTATTGTATTTAGAAATGTTGTTGATTTATATCTGTAGATTTTCCTAATCTGTATTATCTTTAACGTATTGCAGAAAAACCCGACTATCAAAATGCAAGTTTCTTGAAATTCCTGAAAAAATAGAAATGGTAATTAGGAGGTCGTCTATTTCAACTTACCTGAGGTCAAACTTACCGTTCTAGAATTTAATTAGTGTGGTCTGCGGCGCTAAACGCCGCACATACCTTCAATTTACATGCGGAACAACTTCCTCCCAGCGACCGCGGGAAACAAATTCAACAACATTTTTTCACTTCTACTAATTTTCTTCATTGCCTATCCTATGTCTCCGCCTCTAAAACCCAACTACCCACCGTTTGCGTAGTACAAAATGCTGGGAGTAGTGGTATATGAGGTGCGCGACTTAAACTACCTTTGCCAAAGTCGGGTTACTGAAAATGTAAAAGTAGGTTATTGTTGAAGTTAAAGGCAAATAGGACATATAAAGACAGTCCTACGTAAAAAAATATTTTTGTTCTTTAATCAAAGCAAGATCAACAGAATTTTTCTGCCCCCACCTGACCGGTTCTGGTTTCCAACTTGCGAGACAGCAGCTGACCCGCTTCTGACTGTGTGTTCACAAAAGCTACGGCGAGATGGTCAGCTGCGCGGAAGGCGGCCACACAGAAACGCAAGGGTGGTCGAGGGGAGGGTTTGAAGAAGACTACCCGCGCTCTACTGTCCTCTCGCCATCCGTCGTGGAACCGAGCAAATTGGCTTCCATCTTGTAGCAAAGTTATGAGCGGAGCACCGAGGTTAGAGCTAAGAATGCCCGGAGCTGGTGCAGATCTTGAAGGACTGGATTCCAAGAGGGCAGACGTGAAGAAGTCAAGGACAGATTCGCGCGTGATATGAGTACCCACAAAGTAGGTGACCTTTCGGTGAGGAAGGAAAGATGTGAGGTGGAAGGACCAATAAATCGTGAAGTAAGGAATAAGATGACCACATCAGTGGTGGTAGTGATGTAGTGGTAGAAGAAGAAGAAGAAGAAGAAGAAGAAAAAGAAAAAGAAGAAGAAGAAATACTGAGGAGGAGATTGAAGGCCTTCATCTATGGATTAACTCTAACATTTTGAAATGGTATTACTTGTCTGGTGGTACTTTAATAAGAAAATATAGTTCGTATATCAGTCTGAGGGAGTTATCGTGTAGACACGGAAGGCACCAAGTTCGAGTCAACGTTGTAAGTGCAGGCTAATCTAGCAGTTAACAACAAACTCCAGCTTGAAAGGTTTGAAGCGACATCACAGACCTGAGTAAGTTGAGAGTTCGAGAGCAAAAAATACGCGAGGAAATAAAAAGGAATACTTCCAAACCATAATATTTGAGGAGTCGAAGAGTCTAGCTGTGTGGATCGTAATAACCACCTTCAATGCCAGAAGCATACCTTTTGTAATTCGGGCATCTAATTCCTAAAAAATGTTGAATCTTATTTTTAGATTGCAAAAACAGCAAGATTTATTGGATCCATGAAATTTCGGGAAAGCTCATCAGTTGCGTCCATTCCATTGCACGGTGAGAGTAACGAGTGAGAAAAATAAAAAAATCAATTGGTACAGGAAGGTCAAAATAGGTCATAAGGCAAGTTACGAAGGTTAAGTGGTGAAGTTAGCGAGTTAAAACGAGGTGGAAAGAAAAACAGAAGAAAATGAGCTAGGGCGAAAAGGTGGGTAGGGGAAAGTGTCAATCTGGGATCCAGATTTTACCAAGGCAAAGCTAGGGTAACCACATGCCCCAACTGTTTACACAGGTCAGGGTTTGACAGCCGTATGTAGGCTGCCTCAAGGTAGCGCAACATACGAGTCGTTCGTGCTTGAACAAGTACTCGGAAGGAATTTTTAGGATCGACAGAATGACCCGTATCTAGTAAATGTTCTATGATGGAGGAACGAGGCGTTCCATGTTCCTGTTGGAAAGCAATGAGCACTTTGCATCCGAAGATTAAATTTACTATGGAACAAGAACGAGAGAACCAGCTTTACTTCCTCGACGTTCACTTTTCCAGACAGGATGATGGTTCCATTGCATGAACGGTCTTCCATAAGAATACCTGGAAAGGTCAGTACTTACGTTATCTAAGTTTTGTTCCCACCCAATGGAAACGCAACTTGATTTATACTCTTCTCAAGAGGACTAGAAAAATCTGTTCTATGGACACATTGGATGCCGAATTAGAAAGTCTCAAAAAGACCTTACTGAAGCGTGGATATCCAGCTCAGTTTATTGACAAGTATAGTCAATCCTTACGATCCAAAAAGACGGACCAGTTAGTTCAAAAAAGCCTGTTTTCTTTTCTTTGCCATTTAAGGGCGAGAACATTTTAAACACTATCAAAAGACGCTTGCTTAACGCCATTAATAGAAGTTTATATGCTGCCGAGCTCATATTTTGCTCCCCAACTAAGGCCTGACCAATTCCCGATGCGAAAAATGCCTTGCACGCCACATCGAATTGTGTTTATGAGTTTACATGCACTTGCGGATGCATGTACATAGGGCGAACGCAAAGGCAATTGGCAGCCAGAGCTAAGGAGCACTTGCCTACTTGGCTTTCCAAACAGGAACATAGAACGCCTCGTTCCCCCATTACAGAACATTTGCTAGATACGGGTTATTCTGTTGACACTAAAACTTCCTTCCGAGTACATGTTCGAGCACGAACAACTCGTACCTTGCGTTACCTGGAGGCAGCCTACATACGGCGGTCAAAACCTGACGTATGTAAACGGTTGGAGCATGTGGTTAACTTAGCTTTGCCTTGGTAATATATATA